AACGTTGTACAAAAAGTCAACGACGTCATACATTGAAATATGGAGGTAGTATAACGGTAGTGAATCGTCTAGCTAGCTACCTCTAGATCGATCATCCGGCCGCGCATGGGTATCAGTGTGTATATATATATATATATGCGCTTGATTTTATATTTCTATCATAGCACTTAATTACTTTATTTGTTGTTGAAAACTCAAGGTCAAAATGAGTTTCAATCAGGTCGTCATTGCTAATTTGTCTAGAACTCCTTTGAATAAATGCAGGTAATATATAGTTAATTTATTATTTTCTATCAAGTTCTATTGCAACGTTTGTTAATTTGTGTCTTTGGGAATAAAAGAAAGTTAGCTATATATATAGACATATAGTCAATAAAACCATACGTGTGCATGCATGTTTCTTTAGTTTATTTTCACATTCCAAAAATGGACCAGTAACTAAACTACGTTCACATGCTAATATATCATGTCGCAAAAGTCAAAAGCATTACTAGTACAGTAGAGTAGTAAAAGCAGCTGACCATTTTCTCCGACATTTCTGAGTGCATCAATTATTTTCAATCTTACATTTGCAACTCTACGTGCTGATCGATATAATGTGCCATGCATCCATATACTCAGCCTAATTACTTTGCAGTTTCTTACTTTTCCCGTTTAGGACTCCTAGCACATGTCGAAATTAAACTGATCAAATTTTACCATTTTCACTAGCACACGTACGTACATATAAATATGTTTATCCACATTTTATATGTATATTATTTAATATGCAATTCATCTCCATATGAGAAAGTGCCAAGAAAATTAGATCAAACTTCGTGGTAAATGTAAGGAATAATCAAGAGCTAGCTAGCTTGCGTATGCAGGATGGATAGCTAGCTAAATTTGTGGTACCTGTACAATCATCAGTACCAAATACACTCAATTAATTAATATATTGCTAAATATTATTGAACAACTAGACCAATGGAATCAGATCCATGTGGAGGATGTTGGTTAATCTGCGCCATGTGGCGCAGAATAATCGATCATATATACTTTGTTATAATGCATCGATCTAATTAAGAGATGTGCTTAGTATTTTTTTTCTAGTTAAGAGATCTAGCTACTTAGTTTTTTTTCGAACAAAAAAAAATGGGTCCACACAGAGGTCAAAGCTAATATCCATTATAATCTGGGTCTTCAGAGGAAGTTCAGATGAAAAATACACTTGCTATGTTTGTTGATGCTGATGATCAACCTAATTATTCTTGGTTTTTGGTACGGCGAGTGCATGTTCAAGGTCAGCCTTCTTCCAAGCAGCTACCTAGTCTTGGTTTCTTGAGTTCATAGTGCACACACATACACATTGTGTACTACTCCAGTTCGATACAGTGGTCTAATTAATTATTAACAAATTAATTAAGTATTCGCAAAAAGAAAAATTGAGCTGGTACTGTTTTATACTCCATCCGTTTCGAAATGTTTGACGCCATTGACTTTTTAGCACATGTTTGACCGTTTGTCTTATTTAAAAACTTTTATAAAATATGTAAAATTATATGCCTACATAAAAATATATTTAACAATGAATCAAATGATAGGAAAATGATTAATAATTACTTAAATTTTTTGAATAAGACAAACGGTCAAACATGTGCTAAAAAGTCAATGGCGTCAAATATTTTAAAACGGAGGGAGTAATTTATATCCTATATATAGTTAATCATCAGAATCTTTTTTGTTCGGTAAACAATGGAACTCTATATGCATTGGTGTTGCATGCAGAAGACGTAGCTTTCATGGTCTGGAAAAGTGTGAATTGCTGGAAATACATTTTTTTGCTGAGAGAGAAGTCCAAAATGTTCTAAACAACATTGATATATATAGAGAGAATGAGAGTTTTTTTAAACTAAATATATATAGGGTATCTAGCAATCTTTTTATTGTGTAGGAAGAAGATAATTAACAAATATATATACTAGCACTATACATTATCTATCTAGCAAATTTTGCTGCTGGACACTCAAAATTTATTTAATTTGCTGATAGACATTGAAAAACGTGTCATAGCTAAAAGTTATCTTTAAAAGTGGTAATTTGCTAGATGATACTTTTAGCTTAATTAGAGAGAGAAATTATTTAAAAATATGAGAATGCACTTAGGGTCAAAAGCTTCTAACTCTTGAGGCTGTAGTAAAGTAGGCATATTTTTTTTTGCATGTTTGACATTTAGTATTTTTCTCACTACTTTTTGTTTCATGGGTTTTGTGTCCTAGTTAGCAAATATGTGCCACGCCAAGTTGACAAACATATTAACTACTTCCTCCGTTTAACATTACCCATATTCATATAGATGTTATTGAATCTATACATATGTATATGTGTCTAGATTCATTAACATCAAAATGAATATGGATAATGCTAAAAAGTCTTACATTGTTAAACGGAGGGAGTATAAAATTTGTTCTAACGACTTTCCCTTGTAAAAAAATGTAGGCATCCAATGGAAAAATAAAATGCAGAACAGATTGAAAGCACTTGTGATCAAATCAAAACCTTGCAAGAAAAGCTGCAGGCTTGCCGCTGCTCTGTTCAGTTTGTTGCTTCCATACTGCGGTGACAGGGAAAGAATAGTCAGCGTTAGGCTTCCATAGCTGCTACTGCTGGTAATACTGCCTCCCAAATTAAGATCGCAACTGACTCAACGTTTAACCGTCCATCTTATTTAAAAAAATAATTAGTAATTTTATTGTTATATAAGATGATAAAACATAAATAGTAATTTATATGTGACTAATTTATTTTAATTTTTTTCATAAATCCACCACACACTTAAAATAGGACGTGCTAGTAGACAACTTGTCCATGGCAGCCAAAAGGACAAAAGACATAGAAAGCTGTCCGTTTCACTTGCAGGAGGGTGACAGGGAAGATATAGCCATAGGCATGCAACCAAATTTGCCCAAGCACATTGCATATATGCATGGGTCCCTTTCGGTTTATTCCGGTCCAAAGCTACCGATCGATCTCTTGCTCTCTCTCTCTCTCTTGGCTTGGAGACGAGACGACGAGACGTTCAATAATTCTCCTGATCGAGATGATCAACAGATCGAATAATGGAGAGTTCTCCCCTTGAACGAGACAAGGTCGTCGTTCCCGTGTCTCGAATCTGTACATGCCGAGAGGAAAACCAGTAAAAATCTTTGACGACCAAGCCCCGGGCGATCCAGATCGACCGACCGACCGAATGAAATAACGAAAGCGATACGAGTAATTTTTACTGTGTCGATCGTATGCGTATCGTAACTGTTCTCTTGATCGATCAGCTATATTTTACTTGTCGGAATTTGTTGAAAGATCCAGCAATCGCGGGCCTTTTTCACGCTTGCCAGATTAATCCTAGCTAAATATGTGTCAACAAGATTACAGATCGATTGTTCCTCACTAACACTTTTTCTTCGTTATAATATAGAGTTAGTAATACATGTCATTTTGGATAATGGTGAGATCAAACTTTAATTTTTTTTAAATTTGGTTAGTAAAAGTAATTTCTAAAATTTTATCTTAAAAATGTACAGACCATATGTATATATTAAAAAGTACTTCACCAAAAATCATATGTTTGTTGATATTTTTATTTATATTATAATAAAAAGTAGTGGTAAAAGTTATTTTTAAGACCGCACCTTTATTCAAAACGATGATAATTTATCAAACCTGGAGGGAGTACAAGGAGTCTGAGGCTTTAAAATTTATCATATAATAAGGACTTTTATAGCTGATGCACTCTCCCAAGCATGGATTAATTAGTCTGAAACTAACCAACAACTAATGAATTAGAAGTAGCTTCCTATTAATGAGGGAAATTATGGACTTTTGCCTTTTCCTATTTAATTTGTAAGCTATATAATTTTGAATGGAAGGAGTAACATGATTATTTTATTTTTTTTTCATGTTTTTAATCAAAGAGCAAACATATATTACCTTCCGATATTAATTCATATTTCCTTTGTTTTTAATATATGATGGCATCGATTTTTATACATGTTTAACAATTACCTAAGTATTCCCTCCGTTTCTAAATATTTGATACTGTTGACTTTTTAGCACATGTTTGACCGTTCGTCTTATTAAAAAAATTGTGAAATATGTAAAACTATATGTATACATGAAAGTATATTTAACAATGAATCAAATGATATGAAAAGAATTAATAATTACTTGATTTTTTTAATAAGACAAATGGTCAAATATATTTAAAAAAGTCAACAGCGTCAAATATTTAGAAACAGATAGAGTATCATTTATTTTGTTGTGTCTTTTTTTTATTTTTAAAAGGACTTTAAACATGAATTATATTCTTTATATTTGTAAAAATTAAAGACGAATGATTAAATAAATGTATGTTCAAAAGTTATTGGTACTATACATTAAAAAAGGGAATAGTATTTTCCTGGTATTCATACCATAAGGACAACAAAACAACTCCCATGATATTTTCTTTTCTCAAATAACTAACAAAGCCTCATGCCTAATCTCTTTATCATAAGCTACCTGGATCTAGGTAGTTTCTCTTTTCATGTTATTGGGAATATTTGACCGATTTTCTTGATAGCTACTTATGGACATGTGCTCAAAGGATGTAATAAATATGATTTTTTTTTAAAAAAAAAAGATGAATTCACAGTAACTATTTCTAGTGGCGTAAAAAAAAGATTTTACTTGCATGAAAAGACATGGTTTGAAGAGAGAGCTCTGGCCATGCAGCAAGGACGAGCCAATCAGCCAATGGTATATGCTGCAAAAAGTCAAACGCATGCATGGGCCCCAGTTGTCAGTGGCATATGCATGACCTCTAATTTATATGGTTTATTTTTTCCCTCGTAATATTTCCCAACATTTTCTGTGTCACGTAGGGGAAGCTGCTTAGCCAGCCTCAGCTCACATGCTTAAACCCTCGCCTCTTCTCCCTATAAATACACACCCTAACCTTCTTCTCCCTCCCACCCACACATCATTCTTCATCCCCCACCCTAAAACTCAACTACTCATCCTCTAGCTCTCAGCTGCTACGATCGATCGCCATTGCTAGCTAGCTCTAGCTCAGAGCACGTAGAAACACTTGCCATGGCGGCGGCGCAGCAGCAGCAGCAGAAGGAGGGGGGCGCGAGGCGCACGAGGGAGGAGGTGCCGGCGGTGGGGAGGGTGGCGATCATCGGCGGCGGGATCAGCGGGCTGGCGGCGGCGAAGCAGCTGGCGGCGCACGACCCGGTGGTGTTCGAGGCGACGCCGCACATCGGCGGGGTGTGGAAGCACTGCGCGTACCGGTCGACGCGGCTGCAGACGCCGCGGCCGGACTACGAGTTCTCCGACATGGCGTGGCCCAACCGCGACGACCCCTCGTTCCCCACCCACGTCGAGATCGTCGACTACCTCGAGGACTACGCCGACAGGTTCGGCCTCTGGCGCTACATCGCGCTCCGCTCCAAGGTCGTCGGCGTCAAGTTCCTCGGCGGCCCCTCCGCCGGATTCACCGAGCTCTGGAGCGGCTCCGGCGAGCCCCTCCAGGGCAAGCCCATGTGGGAGCTCGCCGTCTCCTCCACCGACGACCCCGACTCCGACGACGTCCAGGTAAATTAACATACTCCTCCCCTACCATAGGCCGGTCTGGCCGATTGTATTGTGTAACAAAAACGTAACTCTATTACTCTAATATATTGACGTGCAATAATTCTTTTGCACGTTCGCGAAAAAACGTCTAGGTAAACATACCATGTTAATTCTCACACACCTAGAGCTTGATTTCCGGTCATGGTGATCGATGGATTGGGTCGATATGATGCAGTTGTACAAGTTCGAGTTCGTGGTGATGTGCACGGGGAAGTACGGCGACGTGGCGAGGATGCCGGTGTTCCCGCCGGGGAAGGGACCGGAGGTGTTCAAGGGGAAGGTGATGCATTCGCTGGACTACTGCAAGCTCAACGAGCAGGAGACCGTCGAGCTCATGAGAGGCAAGAAGGTCGTCGTCGTTGGCTACAAGAAGAGTGCTATTGATCTAGCCCTTGAATGCGCCGAGGCCAACCAAGGTAAAAAAAAATTTAAAAAAATAATTTACTCACCATCGATCGTTGAATATTCGTCTCAGTAAAAAGCTCGATCAATATGCATGGATGTTCTATGTATTTACCGTTGTAGATTAGGTGCAAATTCTCACAAAGACAAAACCATTTTTGTTCTTAATAAATGACTATGTATGTATTGAGTATCTAGGAAATTAACATGCATGTATAACTAGCTAGGCGCAGTCAGATGAGCTATCATGCATGCATGAACGCGGAGATTAACAAGTAAATCATAGAAAAAGAAGATTCATGCATGCCAAGTTCACACATAACTAACTCCAAAGGAATTACATATTTATATCGTGGAAACGTCCAATCATTTGATGAACTTGGGACGGAATTAATATTGTACACTTGCATGGTATAGTAGTAGTATTAATTTGCATACCCAATTTGGTGACATGCATGTAACGCCGTGACAGCAACCTGTCCTAACGAAATTCAGGAGACCCAATCTTAGTTAGCTCTGACACCCTGTTTCAGAAAAGGTCACTCTTGTCTTGATCCGTCGTACACTCCATCTAGAATTTTATTTCTTTTTATGCCACATGTAGCCAAGCCTCCTCTTGCTCTATACAGGTTCAAAGTACGCTAAACACAACACATACGCATATATGCTCTGACTTTTCAAGCTGAAGTGTTTTATATGCTAGCTACGCGTTCCACTTGTCAATCTCTTTTTTCTACTCTGAAACTGCGCAGAGATGATCACTCCAACATTTTGACTGTGTACTTGACCATATCAAAGTGCTAGCTTAGTATATTAATTCCTTTTGTTTGGCCATCAAGTTAGTAATTAATTCCAAGTTGATCATGCAGCAACAAAAACTATCTGTCATTAATTCTGAAGAATTATTAATCCTTTAATTTCAAGCTTGTTCAGTTCTGATTGATTGGTTTGGTTGCAGGTGAGGGAGGGCAGCCGTGCACGATGCTGGTGAGGACCCTGCATTGGGTGGTGCCATCCTACTCAATCTGGGGCTTGCCCTTCTTCCTCTTCTACTCCACTCGCTTCTCCCAGCTCTTCTACGAGAGGCCCAACCAGGGCATCTTCAGATCACTCCTCTGCCGCCTCATGACCCCATTGGTATGTACATACTCACTCGATCTACTCATTTCACGTGAACATCTTATCAGAAATTAAGTTCAGAATGTGCATGCTCAAGACTTTGACAATATTATTTTGTTTGTAGTAGCTAGCTAGCTTGTCAGCATCATAATTTACCATGTTTTTTTTTGGGAGAGCAGAAGGCTGGGGTGTCCAAGTTCATCGAGTCGTACCTGTCATGGAAGCTTCCACTGAGCAGGTACGGGTTGAGGCCGGATCACCCGTTCGTGGAGGACTACGCGAGCTGCCAGATGGCCATCCTGCCGGACGGCTTCTTCGACATGGCCGACCGCGACCTGATCCGTTTCCGGCGCTCCGCCGGCGGCTGGTGCTTCTCCGAGAACGGCGTCGTCCTCGACGACGGCACCCACGTCGACGCCGACCTCGTCTTCCTCGCCACCGGCTTCGAGGGCAAGGACAAGCTCCGCTCCGTCCTCCCCGAGCCCTTCCGCGGCCTCGTCGTCAACAAATCCTCCATGATGCCCCTCTACCGGTACCCACATGTTAACCAACCAATTACACCGCAGACGCACACGCACAATTAGCTAATGGATGAGTGTTTTTTTTTTGTGTGTGTAGGGGGACGATACATCCGCTGATACCGAACATGGCGTTCGTGGGGTACGTGGAGAGCGTGTCGAACCTGCACACGTCGGAGCTGAGGTGCAGGTGGCTGGCGGGGCTGCTGGGGGGGAGGTTCGCGCTGCCGGCGGTGGAGGAGATGGTGAGGCACGTCGACGGCGAGACGGAGGCGATGCGGCGGACGACGCGGTTCTACCGCCGCCACTGCATCTCCACCTACAGCATCCACGACAGCGACGCCATGTGCGCCGACCTCGGCTCCCGCGTCCACCGCAAGTCCAACTTCCTCGCCGAGCTCTTCGCCCCCTACAACAACCAGGACTACAAGGAAGAGTAGCCAATCCTGGCCGTCCATCCTTCCCGTACACCGAATCAAGATACCGTTAATTCAGTCGTATAAAATGATATAATAAGATTCGTTATTTGTTTATAAAAGTAATTAAGTTAATTGATTATTAAGGGCTGATTAATTAATTGTTAGTTAATAATAATGGAGGACTAGCTTAGGTCGTGTTCATGTGTCATGTGAACTGGGGAATTGATTTGGTGAGGACTCGAACTACGATCTGGTCTCGGCCGCGACCGGGAGAGGAATCAAATCATATCCAAGAACGGGACCATGTAAGTTAGGTCCGTATGTACGATCTGTACGATCGATGTGTGCATGATCAAAGGTGGTTTTTCCAAACCTCTTAATTTGTAATCATTCTTTTTTGTCTGATGATGAAATTCAATAAAATTCATTTATTGTCTGAAATCGTATCCGCCTGTTTCGATCGCTTCTGTACGTGTGAATTTCATGGATCAGCCATATACTGTTCTGTTTTATATTTCTTACATTGGTTAAATTCAAGGATAAATTTATTAGTTTGTTCAATATTTATGAATGATCTGGGAGTATGATTGGTTTTTAATCAAATGCAAATGGCAACCAACAGCCAAGAAAACAATTCATGGCATTTTGAACTTTTCCACGGGTCAAGTCAATAGCTTCTAAGATGCATATATGATACCTAAAATACAAACCAACCAAGTCAAAATGGTCAAACAGTCGATACTATGTATACAAACTACTAGAGTAGCACTTAACTAAGAGTTGACCACAATAATGCTAGCTTCAATTAGTCGGTACTTGGTAGTTATATGTTTTTTTTTCCTTCTGTAAATATTTTATAGTTCTCTCCCTTTCGGGTTGTTGCACCATAGTCAGATGTTAAGGAAGTTATATATATATATATATATATATATATATATATATCATCTATTCTAGGCAGGTTTCATGAATGTATATATACACCATGTTTTTCTTTTCTTTTTTTTTTCAAGTTGCCCGTTCATGTTGTGGCGTCAATCGGTCATGATTTTGACCACCAATAATCTGCATATGTAGCTATCAGATGGTAAATTTTTAGGCAGTTTAATTAGTCGTTTTGGCCTCTGAAAAGGCAAGCAGCTAAGCTTCTCATCGTTTACTGTATGGAGATAAACCGTAAAAGAAAAGTAACTAAAAATAATTTATGAGTACACCTTTTACATATGTGTTTCTTAGTAATTTAAAAGTCAATACTGAAAATGAACTAAGATGAAAAAACTTTAAAATGAACTCTAATACCATGTTTTAAAATTTAATTTTTGGCTGTGGGAGATGCATGCACTGAACGACCGTTCCATAATTAATTTACGCACATAACCGAACACATCATCTTGCAAACCCATTACTTACATTATTCCGTTTATTTTTGTTTTTTATTGTCACAATCTTGTCTCTGGATTGTGATTTTTCAGGAGTTGGATTCTTAAAATCTGATTGTGAATTCAGATTTTGAAACATGCGAAATGTGCAATTTATATAATACTTCTAGTGATAGTTTTAGATCAACATCATCACCCCACAAAAGCAGCTTCATTGCTAACTTTTGGTTTTTATTAGAAACCATGCCTCGTTTCTACGAATCTGCTTTCAGAATCAAGCTATTTGCTTTTGCTTTTGATTGTCAAGCGGTGAAACAACAATATGGTACGCCCCCGGTGTTTTGCCACGCCTTAATTATGACAAAAGTCACAAAACCCTTGTCACGTCAGTCAAGTCGGCATGATGAAACAAAATTAGGCATGTTGTTTTGTTATTCTAGCCTAGCTGTTGTGGCCAAAAGATTAGTTTTGGAAGTTTTGGTATATAGTTTATTTTAAAAAATAAAAATTTAAAAGGTTCAATAGATAAAAAAATATAATTATGGGCATTATATGTGTATTTAGACACTCAGAACATCTACTTAATTCCAATACAATGCATATTTCCTCTTTTTTTTCCATGATTAATTAATGTTGCGTACGTGTAAATAGTTACCTTTAACTTTGTACGTCAACAATATATTGTGGATACAACTAAGAGGAGAAACTTTGAACAGGAGCCATATCATTGGAGCCTACCACCGTTGCTAAGTCAAATTCAAGCAAATATTTCGTGAAACTCGTTGCAAGTGATGTGGATACCAAGATAATTAGTAAATCGGTTAGCCGATAATGGCTAAACATATGAGAGCCCAACAACTAAGTACTCCAATGGTTGTATATATATACACCCCCGTTGGTGTAGAAGCCATTCCCATTATCCAAAAAAAAAACAAGTAAGTACTCCAACTTATGAATGTCAAAATATTTCCTATCTATCTTATCCTAGCAACAGGTGTTATGCTAGAGATCTGAAAAACCGTTTTAATTCATCTAATTGTACGATAAATCTTGAGCTTTTTGTTTAATTTCTGAAATGGAAATAAAACGTGAGTTATAGAAAAACTATATTTTGTAGGCTAGTTGTACCGTTTCATCAGCAATGCATGCAATTGACATTTATAGTTCCAGTGATGAATTAAACTGCAACACCTTTGTTTTCTAAATAGATGGCTTCGTTAATTTTTAGATTAATATTTGACTATTCATATTATTTAAAAGTTTAGTGCAAATATAAAAACTTTTTTTATAAATCATGCTTAAAGTTTCTATAATAATAAAGTAATTAGTGCCAACAAAATAAATAAGACCTATATAAATTTATTTTAATAAGATAAGTGTTGAAACCCTATGCTAAAAACCAACGATACCATCTAAAAAAAAGAAGTATGTACTACTATCCTGTATTTGTAAAATATATATTTAGCTAGCTAGGGAATGAGCCCTAGAAATAGGATAGAAACTGCGTCGAAATTAAGATGCATGAATGCCATCCTACATTTGGAAGAAATGATGAAATACGTACATGCGTACGACGTAGCCGTATAAGGTAGTAGAAGTTATAGTTAAGCTAAATGTTGTTTATTTAAGGTAGTTCTGAGAAAATAATGTACGTAAAGGAGGAAGATCGATGTACCTTCGTAGAAATTTTGCAACATGAATCCTCTAGGTAGGTTAGTTAGGTCGACGCTGGTGGTACGTGAATTTCCTGCATATATATTTTCTTCCGTTCCATTAATTTCAAAACTGGTCCTAATAAATTATTGTTTCTATCTTCAATTCGATCCATGTTGCACTCAAATTAATTAATAAACTGCAACTTTTTCCAAAGCTTGGAATTCAAGATTTGCTCACGTCAAGGATTCAACACGCGAACGAAAGAATTAATGTTTCCATTTTCAAAACTTGCACGAACGACGACGAAACCATATGCTTGTATATACAGCTGAAACGCAGTAGCTAGTGGCGTCTGGACTTTAATTTGATCAACCGAAAGACCAAGACTAGTAGTACTATTACGCACGAGAGAGAACTAACACAACACATTATATTAATTAATCCAATCGTATATATGCAACGGCCGGTTCGTCGTCGTCTCCGTTGGGTTTATTTGATTTCAATTCGTCCGAGACCGATCGATCGAGCCGCTCCCACGGTACGTGGTCCGGTCGGTCGTCCGGTCCAGGTTGAGTTTTCACTCCTGGTCTGGTCCGTACGTGCGTGCGCATGTACGCGTTTGGTATGTCGCTTTTGAACACTGTACTAGTGCTATATATATATCCTGCACGTGCCTGATATATACATGGGTCGCGCGCATTAATGAACCCGACGACACGCGCGCGCATCATCTGTGACGTACGTGTTCGTGTGAATAGCTCGCTGTTCGTGGCCAAGGCGCCAACAACCACACGTACGTCGACGTCGGTCGGCTTAATTCCCACCAGCAGCCGATCGTGCAGTGCAGAGACGTACAGCGCAGTGTGACAGTCGTAGCTAGTAGAGAAGGAGAAGAAAACTGAAAACGGCCGAGCGAGCGAGGCGAGCCATCGACGTCTCGCTGCATGGTCCCTCGACGCGTACCGGTGTACCACCCACACACGCCGCAGCAACCAAATCGGCCTGGGAGTTGAGCAGCGTACGTGTCCTCCCGCGGATGTCTACACCGGCCGGCCACGTACATCGCCGTCGTCGCTGCGCGACCGCTCGCTGGGCCGCGCGTCCATATCATCCCACCGCGACGGGCTCCGATCCACTTCCACTCCATCTCCCGGCTCGACATCCTCCTCCGATCCGACCCGGGCCTCGCCTCGCGCGCGACCCCGCGATTCCGCCGCTTCGCGCGGGCCGTTCGCTAAGTTTTCTTCACACGGCCTGTACGTCTCGGGGACGCGCAAAAGGAAAAAGTACACCGAAGGTCCCTCAACTTGTCCTCGAGATACAAAACCAGATATCCCACGTCCCTTAACTAATCAAAACCGGTCACAAAAGTCACTCGGCGGTTTTGACCCCGGTTTTATCCTACGTGGCTGCTGAGTCAGCGTGGGACCCACGTGGACCCCACATGTCAGCTTGGGCCACGTCAGCCTCCTCTATCTTTCCCCTATTCTCTCCCTTCCGCATCTGTCTCACTCTTCCCTTCTCTTCTTAGGTAAGCAGCGTTGCTGGCACTGCCGGGGAGGAGACCGCCGGGGCGAGGCGGGATCAGCCGGAATGCTGAGCTCGTCCGCATCCTTGCCACCGTCGCCGCCGGGATCCTCCTCAGCGCCGCCTCGATGCTCGCGTTCTGACCGCCGGCAACGACGTCGGTGTGGGGGATGGACACCGAATAGCTCCGGTAGTCCGTTCCCTCGGCAGGTGCCAAGTGTACTTGGTGTACGCCGACGCTGGGTGGAGGAACACCGGGATGTAGCCGGCGAGCATGGAGTCGAACGTCGACTTGCGGGTATAGGAGTCGCCACGCGGCTGGATGCAGAACACGCGGAATTGAGGAGCTCCATGATCCGCCCCGGCGAGTTTCCGAAGTGGGTGCAGGACGGCGACGCGTGCACTGCTCGATGATCTGGGCGCGCACGGTCTTGGTGCTCCCGGGGCGCGGCGCGCCGGCGAACGCCCAGAGCCACCGGCGGTCGCGCCGCCGCATGCGGTCCTACCACCGGAGCACGTCGGCGTCTAACAAAAGTTTATCTCTAACTCTACAAAAACACGCACGTATGCCTTCACGCAAAACCCATCCAACCGCAGCCTGCGGCGTGTATGGGCCTCCATCTGCCTCCATCTCCATCGTCTCTTCGCAAACCAGTAGCTATAGCTAGCACCACATTGATTTGGTTCTTCGTGACAACAGGCTGTGCCATCTATGAAGTAAAGCAATGCCTTCCCTGCCCAACGAGGCAACGATACACCGCCATGCATGCAAAGCCCACGTGTAGTACCTGTTAACTCAGCACACAAATTCCCAATAAAGCAATTAATTAAGTAAATCACTAACCAATCAGCAATTTGGCAAACCAAATAACCCAACTATCCTAATT